CACGGGTCTTCCCTGCTGTCCAGGTGCAGTGACTTCGAGGGAGAGCTCTCCGCCTTCAGAGACGCAAAAAACACAGCGGGGCCGCTCGCCGTGAAGGACCCGGGGTCTGCCCGGAGTCTGCGGGGGCTCTTCCGGGCCTCGCCCGATTGCCAGGTCAATGCCTGCGACTGCGCGAAAGGGCGCCATTCTCTCCGTGACTGTCTCTCCCTGCCTGCAGCAGCAGCTGGTTGACCGCATCAAAAGCCCCGGGCCCTCGGAGGAGCCTCCGGAGTTTGCCCCGGATTGCACGGGGACTGACCATTTTTGTCCGCTCCTCAAGAACCTCTTCTAGATTGCACGGACACCGATGGTGCACGCCAGGCTTTTTTACAATCGGCTCGGCTCGCCGCAAGCCGTGGCATGCAATCGTCCCACCTGATTGACACTGGTCGTTGTCGAAGCAAGCAAGACAAGTCCTCGTCAGAGCTTTTCCGAGTAACTGTTAAGTCTCATGGCCACATCTGCAACAAGCAAGTTCTTAAATGACGAGGGCATGAAAGGAGCAGGTACGCCAGGATCCAGGAGTCAATCAATCACTTATGTAAACCCCGAAGAACAGACAAGGTAACCGAAAGACCACCTTGCCCGTGTGTGCCGACTGCCGTCCTCCGGGCTCAGCAAAGCTGCCTGCAAAGAACTTTCAGCAGCTCGTTACCTCGAAACTTGTACCAGTAACCAGCGTACTTCCATCATTGCAACAGGTTGCTGTAATTTTCAACAACCCTCTGTCAATCCCATGGAGGAGCTCAGGCAGCATACGCCTAACGTAGACTAACAGCGTAGGCAGCTAGTTGCAGCGACGCTGCGTTCTTGACCCTTTTTCAATCTCTGCGATGCCAAGCCCATCTAAACCCCCTTCCGCACAACTCTTGCACCAATGCTTCCACAGCCATCGGCGCCTCGACGTGTTGGAATGTTGTAGCTTTTGGGCCTAGAATACACCTAATTTTATTGGTATATCTTGTCATGTAAATATAGGCTTAAGGATACAGCTATTTCCATAAAGAATCTCATCAGCGAAGACAAAACGAGAAGAGTAAAATGAGCAATTGGCACGCCGAGGTCAGGTTCCCCTCGATTTCTCATCTTCAATTGGCGCGTGTTTTGCATATTTTTTGGAGGGGCTCAATTTATTCAACCGATGATTTCTTAAGTAGTGCTGTTGCTGTAGAAGAGCGCAACTGTCGAAACCAAGGAAGAGACGGGTCGGAGGAGTCGCACGAGACAGGTAAGTTCCGTCCAGTATGAGCGGTGTAATTTCTTCCTAACTGTCACTACCCTCGTCTCTGAGAAACTGAGTATAATTGAGTCATCCGTGATTACGAGGAAGCCAGCGGCCTAACAATCAGACCCTGAGCACTGGGCCGTTCACCTGCTGCTTTTTTTTTAATGAAATGAACACGCTCCTCTTTGTTATGCTTGTTTTATTACATTAAATTAACGTCAAAAAGCCGAGAGACGGCCGTGTGTTCCTGTTTTCCTTCGTAATGTTAGGTTTTGTTTGTGCAAAAAAGGCATCAAGAAACTAAGGGACTGGACTTGGTATTGCAAAAGCTGGGCACATGGAAAGGCGCCATGACCAGGCTTTTGCCAACTGACTTTGCGCTTGACCGAGCCTTCAAAAGCCCTTATACAGCCTCTCTTAAGCCCTTGCAGAGCCTTGAGAGCCCTCCAAAGCTTTTAGTAGGGCTTAATGGAACCAAAAGCTGGCCATCTGGCAAGACACCGGTAGGATTCGAGCCTCTGCCTTTTGCCAACAAGCCTTGCGCTTGCCAACTGAGCTACAGCCACCTTGCTAGATTTTTGGACATCCGACAGCTCCTCAGCTTCTTCCGCCGTACAGAACCCCCCAAGTAAGAAATTGAGGGGCTCAACTTGCGGGTTCTGGGCTTGCGTAACAAGGGCTTAATCAGGTTCTAGAGCCTGTAAGGGCTCAGGAAGCGAGTAATACGGCTTTGTCATATATATAGGAACAACCACCAAAATAAGAAATTGCGGGACTCGTTTTCTTTATGTTACGAAATTGAGGGGCTCAATTTCTTACTTTGGGGGTTCTGGTAAGGGCTGAATACAAGCTGTATATAAGCTATGAACATGGCGTGAAAGAAGCCTGAAGGATGCCATGCCCGAGCGGATAAGCACAGAATGGAAGTTGCTGCGGGCTCAAACCTGTCAGTTTCTTTGGATTGTTTGTAGCTGGTCCTTTCAAACTTTGAAATTTGGGTTAAGAAATCCAGGTATCTTCAAATGCCGAAACGTTTTTGTTTACCAAAAAAGTGCATGCTAAAATTAGGAAATCGAGCCCCCCTCACGAAAAAGTAACTGTTTCTTGACCTGCGCTGTCGCTGTAGATTACCAGCATCATCTGTTGGGCATTCCGGAGTTCACGCGCCGAAGCACACGATCCTTTCTGAATGTATCGTTACTTCGCCGTTTAAGCTTCCCAAGCGTGCGAAATGCGCGAGAGCCTGCATGTCGTTGACCATCAGCAGAATGTCTCCCTTAGCAGCCGTCGGGGTGTGTCAAGATACATCAATAAACGTCGTGCTGCGACTCAATTGGTGTTCTAAGAGAAAGGCCACCTGTGTGCCAGCCCTGCTGGCTGGACTGCCTGGCACCTGGGAACACGGCTTCTGCGACGTCAAAGGCTTGAAAGGAGTCCTGAAAGAGGAATGAGAGGACACTGCGACTGCAGTCGAGATGCCACAGCTCCGAGCTGCACTGGCCCCGGAGGCCAGGTCTCAGGAATGAGACCCAAAGTGGCCTGCAGAGCCCAAAGCTTGTGCCATGCTTGTGCGCTCGTAAGTTCCCGCATCGAAGTGCCTGATTTGGGCCGAAGGCAAGGTCCACGGTCTTCAGCTGGCCCAGAACCGGCCTCGAGGCTCCCCCCGCACCTCCAATGCACAGACGTGCTGCGACGTGGCAAGGATAGCAGGACCATGTAGCTCTTTGACTGCACGAGGCCTCGAACATCATCCGAACTGCGCTGGAAAGTAAGGAGCGTCGGCCTTCCATGGCTGCCACAACTTCCCCACACACCCCGGATCACCAGGGCCTCTTCCGCAACTCACGAGCTAAGTCCTGAAAGAGACAAAGCGAGAGGAGCCTCTGATAGCCTCTGACTCTCAGCCTTAGCTCCTCTGATTGCTCTGCTGTTCCCGCGGTCCTCCGCGACTTCGAAGGACCGCACGAGGCGGCCGTTGACCCCGCAGAGCTCATCTCCTCGCCGCACGCCCCGGCGAGCTGCCTGAAGCGAAGCAAGAAGCGATGCCGAAGACGCATTGGAAGATGTCCGAACCGGGGCACGAGGCTGCCAGGCACCGCTGCAGCCAAGAAGACGGCGTGGGGCGGCCAGGTCTCCGGAACCAGGCCTGAGTGGGCGCTGCCACCCGGTGAACTCGGTGAGCTGTACTGTACAACTGCTTTTGGGAGCGGGCCCAGAACCTCATCCGTCACCGAGGCCTCCACCTGCCCAACAGTTTCCAAGGCCCTGTAATGCCCTGCAGAATCCAGCAACAAGCCAGTCAAATCAACCGAACTTAGGACTTGAACAGAGTACACACAGGCTCCAAGGTGCGCGCAGTCTCCCTCCGAAACTCCCTACGGCAGCAGCTAGCAAAAACGAGAGCTCAGAGTTGCGTTGTGCGTTGGCAACCTGCCAGCCTGGAAGCGGACCACGCCGACGCTTGGCGCTCGTGGCGAAGCCGGTGTACTGCGACCATGGGACGCATCTGAAATCTCTCTGGTGCTGAGGTCGAGGGCAGGCAGCAGCATTGAGTGACAAGTGAGATGATGAGAGCCCGCCGTGCTTACGTTAAGGCCACCAAGGGCAGGTGTCTGAATACGCGTGTGCAAGCTCCAAGCACAAGCACCAGAACAGTTCAAAGCTGGGAGTTCAGGATGTCATCTTGCTTACCGTGCACCCCTCTCCTCGGCTTGCGAAATCGCAGATGCAGTGGCCGGATCTGAAGGACGGATACAAGGTCCTTGCGATCATAGCTTGGATCGACGATGGGGCTCAGATGAGCGATTAGTGTTGCCTTCCTTAGTTTACATATATATCTGCAGGCATTGCCACGCCTGACGGGACAACGCGTCGACGGTGGCTCCATTCACCGTGAGGAGGATGCTTCCGGTCTGGACCTGGGACGTTTAGCAAGTGTTGCAGCGCATCTAACAGCATAGCGTGACAAAGAACCGGAAACATCTTTTGAGAGCCGTGCAGTTTGAATGGTGAGTGGTGCATCGGGGTGCACTGCATCCACACACATAGGCCTGCAAGGCTAGCGCACCAGGCCTTGCTTGCGTTCTAAGCCACAGCAGATCCTGCTGCAGCAACAGACAAGTAGGAACACAGGTGATCGATGCTGCATGCAGCTGCAGCACGTGGTGTTGAGGCTATCAGAGGCTGGAAGCTGCCTGCCCGAAGACAGCGCCAATCCCACAGGCCCCGAGGAGGCCACTGTCACCTTGAAAGCCGAGCTGTGACCCCGGCGAAGAGGCACCCAGAAGGGGCCTCGAATTCGAGAGGGTCCAGCGTGCCAGCCATTTTGCAAGAGGGGCATGGCACAGGTGTTCTCTGTAGTTCTGGCTGTCCGTGATGTGAAAGTGGCACAGGTCTTCAGATGTGATGCCAGCCCCTCACTTTCAACAACAAATTTGCGAAATGAATCTCGCCGAAGCACAAGAAAGAGTCGTCATCAAGCCGATTCGTGAACAGGTTTGAATGCTCACTCTCATGCCCTATCACTGGCCTGTATCACTCGCGCATAACCCAAGAACCTACCGCATATCCTCTACAAGCAGGTCATAAGCAGGCCGAAGACTTAATGCCCAGGCGATGTCGGGGGGCCCCCTGATGCCTCCGTGTCGTCAGCCTTTTCTGTTCCAAAAGGAGCGGAGAGCGCTTCAGTCTGTTACACATCAGGTTGCGGATGGCCACTGCGCTTCCCTCGAGAATTTCAAGAGGCACAAAGCAAGAGACAGGGCACCCTGCCATCAGATTCTGAGCCAAGCTCATGGCAGTTCTGTGAGGCTGCACTACTGCTCCTGATGTACTGGTCGGAGCGCAAGATGGCAGGATGCTCCGGGCCGAAATCTTTCCATGGCAAGACTTTCAAACAATCTCGCCAGATAGAAAGAATTCCAGCTGTGTCACATTTCAGCGCAACTGGGACGGGGCCTTTTCCAACTAATTAGACTTGTCAAATGTGAAATCGGGACCCCGTCCCACACAAGGCTCCTGGGCTTCGGTACTGCCAGCCTTCAGAGGCACTCACATGGCTGGGGCAAAGTAAGGTTGCCGGCTCACATGCCCCCAATGAAGCGGGCAAATCTGGCTTGGGCGCCGAAGATCATGCTGAAATCCTCCTGTGTCGCAACAACTGTAAGGACATCCGGGGGGCCCATGCTTGGGTCGGTGAGATCTGCAGATCGAGCCACAAGCCATTGCACTGGTTTCTGATGCCCTCTTCACAGTGTATGGGGACATGAAAACAGCAACGACTGCCATCGCAGCGGATGTTGCCCATCGCAGCAGCTGCCTTTAGCAACATTAAAGAACTTAAGTTCCCGCAGAAATAGTTTTGTGTTTTTTTTCTGTCCTGGTGCAACTCCTTGCGCAACTCCATGACGACCTGCTAGAGCTTTTGCATGCAGGAAACCCCATAACCCTGCTCGCTTCATCTCGCTTCTCTCCGTTCGACGGCCTACCTACCTTCCTACTTTAGGGACTGTGATCTTTCCAACGGGATGAATTAGTGTAACTTCTTTGCAGAGCTCGACTTGCTCGGAACAAACCGAGCCTCTGTCTCCGTCTTGGCTGTGCCTTTCTTCTCGCGTACGATTTCCAGCTCCTGCAATCTCTCTGGCCGCCCTAGTATCACAGCGGCTGCTGACTCAAAGTGCTGAGGACAGACTTCTCACAGTGTCCTGGCTCAATCGCTCGAAAGCCTCACCGATTCTTGTGGCACGTTGGAGGTGTTCCTGCAAGTGGAATGTGGCGAGCACTGAGTCTGCACGAGTGTCGGCTTACACCTGTCAAAAAGGCCATCTGACTCACACCGCCTATGTTCGACAGTGCAGCGATGCCAAAGGGTAACATCTGAATCTGAATCTAAGGCTAAGTCACATGCACGTTTTGACGTCATTAAGTCTGGTGTCCTTGGCTTCACTGATCTCGCCGGCCTGTGCAGGCAGAGAGATTCGTGGATCGACTACGTGCAGCAGTTTGCTGCTGGCCAAGCCTCCATGAGCATGAAGGCTTTGCGCGTGAGTTCATCCTTGCAGTGTGTAAGAGGTGTGCGCGAAATGCAACCTGCACGAGGGTCACAGGAAGCTGGGCATGTGACGATCATATCAGCACGCTGGACCGACGTCATCTCGACCAGGTCTGAAAGAAAGGCCTGCACGCTGGAACCACTGCACAAGCACCGTGAAGTAGCCCCGCTACGCCACTTGCCTCATCCATCCCGTTGACTTCCGCTGCAACCTGCTGGCGCTTACTCAGGTGACCCACCGAAATACTCAGATCATACTACAGGCCCCACTGTGCGGGGATATAACCGTAACTGAAACTGAATGGGATCTCGTGGCGCCAGCCTCGCTGATGAGTTCCTTCGGATCTCTCGTCTCGTCTTCCTTCTCGTCCGTGTTGCGCACGACCCAGCGCTCCTAGTCACACTCTTACTTTAGCTGCAGATTCCCGAAGTCGGTCGTGGTCATCATGGTCATCAATGCAAGCCGGTCATCCCGATGTGACTTGCTTCGCCTATGCATTGGCTCCGAAGGTGTATCCTTGACACGCTCGCGGCCAGTCTTCACAGTGATTCTTGAAAGGCGGCTCAAGTCTTCACCCACCTCAGAGGGCAGCACGTCGTAGTGCAGCGTTTCGTGTTGGAAGCAAGCTCAATGATCATGTGTATGGATTATGTACTTCTGTGAACTTGAAACTTCAAAGTATACATGATGCGTGTGCGTGCATGCTTGTATCACTGTTATACCATCGGGCGGGAAAGCATAGGGAGGGGGGAGGCCGAACCCTGATCGTACGTCTGTTACAGTCTGTTCCACTGCAATTCCGCGGTTTCTTTGGTTCCAACCGCAATCGCAACTTCTTCGCGCAGCAGCAGGTGGAACGTCTGTCTCGCAGCATGGTTGTCCAACGAAGAGGGACATGTTTGCGGTTGATTGGATGGAGGACACCCTTTCTTGCCCCGGCCCTTGCCCCATGAGCGCTCTTTTGGAGCTCCACGGCCAGCGCCAGCCTGTTGCATGCCGAGCACCGTGTCCGGGCCTTTTCTCGGCTGATGGCCGCACGGCGATCCTCCTGCCTGGCTCCATTGCCACATGGATCCCATCGTAGTATGCATCAAGGTACAAACAAACCCCTTGCATCCCCTCCCTGTGCTACTTTGCGTGCCTGCCGTCGTTGCGGAGTTACCCAGCTTCGTTTGCGAGTCTTTCTGCTACAACGGCTTCTGCGTAGTCTTGCCTTCTTTCAGATCTGTTCGTACTGGCCTTGGTTCCACTTTCGTATTTACAGTTGTATGGGTATAGGACTGGCTGGAAAATGGACGCCCTTGCCTTGTGCAGAGAACTCGTCGACTTGTTTCGTCCAGAACGTTGTATCTTCTCCAAGTTTCGAGAAAGCCTCCACGACCGAGAAAATCTGAAATATGTGTTTGGCCACCATCATTGTGATTCTTTCTGTGCGCGTATGGAGCCAGGTCTCCGTCCGCGATCTGCTACCGTAGCCGCAGAAGCACGCCCCGAAATCGTGCATTATGCTTTGCCTGTCGTCCGTTTCAAGGACGATCTTGCGGGCCTCCTCTCTGTTCCATTTGGGTTCAAGTTTTGGAACTTCTTCCTCTCCTTCTTGAGACTGGTTGGCCCCGATCTTGTCGAGATGAAAGTGTTGCCTGCACGGAAATCTCCGGTAAAGCTCGAAGCCCCCGTCTTCCAGTTCCAGCTTACAGCCTAAGCACAAGCATGCAAAACAACGAGTCTAAGTTCACCTCGGTCAGCCTGACAATGGCCTTATAGCCTTCAATGGGGTGGAAGTCAAGCCTTCCGCTTTTAACTTACGGAACACCCAGAAGTTCTCAGTTTCATGCGGACAACGGATGGAAGCAGCATGCAGAAGTTCGAGTGCGTGCTCGTCTCCTTGAAAAGTAGCATCTTTTTGCAAAGTCTTCTCAGGTTTCTTCCTTTGACTAGGGAAATCACATACCGTGGTATCCAGCTTAATAAGCTTATGATGTCAATGGCTGCTTGCAGAAGTTGTCTAGCTCAGTTTATCTCAACACATGCTCAGGAATGTGCGTATCTTGTCGGGTTTCTGTTCTTGCTTTCAGCCACCGGCAAGCAAAAATATTCAGTTCTGCCAAGTTTTCTCGCTATGTTTGCAATGGGTTTGGTGAGCTCATTTTGTATTCTCAAGTGGTGTCCAAAGATACTGGCATGGTGCTGGGCTATCAAATTGCAAGCCGCACTTAAGTTCACGGCTGTGAAGCCTGTCCCCATGTCCAGCAAGGTGATATCCTTCGCAGCCCACGAAGAGACTGACGAGAATCATGTCAGATTTCAGCTGGACTGATCCTACACCATGTGCCGCAAGCATACGCAACCGTCAGCGGAATAACCAGCCTGTGGGTCGTTGCGCTTTCGCTTCCTTGGGAGCCGGGGCTTCTCTCCCGCTTCACTGGAAAACAGCTTCCTGTGCTATCGCGAAGTTCCAGCACCAGACCAGAACCACGTCGTGGAACTAAGATCCATCAAACTAGCTGCATCTGCCTCTATCTACAGTATGAAGTAACCCCCGAACCCGACCTTCTTTGAGGCGCGTGCGACAGGGCAGGTTCTGATCCTTCCTTCTTCGCGGCCCGCGCTTGAAGACGCGAAGTGCGTGTCGAACGGGTGAACTGCGGAGAACAGGATTTCAGGGGGCTGCCGAGAGTTAGGTGCCTCCTTCGGCCTTCGAGCTCGAGCGGCTTACTGCTTCGCACTGCTTGGGCCTTTGGCATTTGGTTTTCTTAGTGCTTGGGCCCTTGGGATCCCTTGGGCCTTTGCCATCGGAGCCAAGGCAAGGCCGAGAGGTAACCTCGGAAGGGCAAGGCTGGCACCTGCAGATGGCATAGCGAAGCAACTCAGGCTGTCGGCAGAAGAGGCCCGTAGCCCGTAGGTGCCCGCCATTTGCGCGGAGGGGGAACCTGGAAGCGAAGTGGAGTCGGAGCTCCGACTTAGCAAAGTCCGGACATGGCCGCCTCTGTCGAAGATGAGTGCAGCAAAACTGGCCTGCTCCGGAACAATGTCAGGATTGCAGCTTCCGCGACGACCGCAATAAATTAATGGGACGAGGCTATGACGAGGGCCAATGCAAAGAAACACAGAGAGCGAGCTGCATCAGTACTTTCACCCCTTTTGCAGACTCGTTTTGAGCTGAAGTGACGTGATCCGAACAAATCGAGCTCAACTTCAAGAAGGATGCCAGGTGTGCCCGTGGGCAGCAGGAGATACAAAGGCGAGGCTGGCCATTGCGCTTTCAGGACTGTCCCGCTCCTAGGGAGGTCTTCGAGCATGCAGTTCTCTTGACGAAAACACTTCCAGGAGGATGGTGCTTTCTGTCATGAACTACATAGCCCTTGGCCTGCAGGTTCGCACATCACAGCCTATGCTGAATGGCAGTGAGCGAGAACGGATGATCCAGGTTTGTCTGTGGGGCACTGCGTGTGCTAGCTGGTCAAATCTCTGCAAATGTCGCGGCCGCGAGCTTTGCAAGCTGGCTGCCTTGCTTCAACTTTTTCCATCCATTGAGCTGAATTTGTCAAAGAAGATTCCTGCAGGAGCACTCTAGGCCTCTGCGCAGCCTTTGGGCTGCACGGTGCAAGCTTTGGAGCTGGCCATGCCCGGGGCATCCCCACTCTACAGCCGCACTTATCCTCACTTCGTGCACGCCGCTCAGAGGTTTGTCAACAGTGGAGTCGTTTCGGACAGTGCAGCAGCCGGAGCGGGAGCAGCCCGGAAAGATGCCGAGTGCCCATCCTGCACCAGAGCCTGGCCAGGGCTCAAGCGGACTCAAGCGTAGAATGCTGTGCATCTCTGGTGGTTTCTGTTTCACGACTTCCAGATCATGTGGAGTTGAAATCACCCACGCAACAAGGCAACACCGTGGGATCGAGCAGTGATTAGACCCTGGCATGAGCCGCGAAGCCTCTGAACATCTCTGAACACCGTCCTTTCTTATTGCACAACGCGCGAAGGAACGCTCTGACGAACGCGCGCCCGCGCGCAGGAACGCTCTCGTTTTTTGGTCCGTTGCTTCAGAAGGCCAGGATGTCACAGAGCGGCCCGAACTCGGGGCGCGGAGCCGCCTGCGCTCTTTTGGGCCTCTTTTGGGCCGTTAGGGCCGTTCATTTGGAGAGGATGGAGGGAGGCTAAGGCTTGATCTCTGTTGCACTCTAGGACCGTTTGTGTGTTCGGGCTGTCTCCAAGGCTTTGGACGGGAAACAACTATTCACATTTTGCAGGGACAAACTGGGTTCGACTGAGTGCAAAAATCGATAGCTGCTACAAGCTTGCAGGCGTCCTGATCCTACTGACGTTCTATACGGATACACACCCATCGCACAGGCAGAAATGCAGCGAGTCTGAAGATGCTTGTTCTTTTGCCCGCTTTGTTCGACGAACCCCGCCGCCCTGCAAATAGCAGCAGGAGATCTGCTGCATCAGAACTCTCCGCTGGTCCGCATCAAGCTGGATATCGCAAGGTTTTCCTGAAGACCATACCAGGTTGCGTCAATTCCGCCACTGTCAGTAAGCAAGAAGGCAGTTCGGTGTTCATTGAAGAGCAGCTCGATCGGAACCGTGGACATCTGAGCCAGGTTAACCCGCAGTATGTCGCGCTGGCCAGTCGGATCCGTATCGTGGGTCCAGCTTCCCTTTCGCCACACGTCAGTGACAAGCTGCCCTCCCGGCAAAAAGCGAAAGACTCCCGCATGGCGGAGTTCTCGTACGGGCTGTCGGTAAACGTAATAGCGCAGGTCCGTGAAGGGGGGTCGCAGTTGTTGTCGGGGCTTCACGGACCTGCACGCTACTCCTTCTGACATATTGGTCGTCGTCGGCGACATTGTGTCAGTGTCTCGGTGCCACTTTTGGTACGGCCAGCTGGTCCCATCCCAGCCGAGACCAAACCATTGGCAGTCCTGCAGTATGCGCCTTGCAGACAAGTCTTTCACTGTCCGCCGGACCCCATCTTCGCTTCCGTAGTCATGGAAAACCATATACTTGAGATTTGGAAGGTGTCGCAGCGAGTTGTATGCGTCTGATCGCACATAGTGAAAGTCGTGATTCGCATCGATAAGAACAACGTCCGCCTGATTGTTGCGAAAAATCGTCCAGCTATCAGTCATGAGATTGGCGTGCAACAAAACCACATTTGGCCTGTCTGCAGTTGTCTTAGCAGCAACTTTAAGCCACTGCTCACTGAAGTCGACTGCAATGACCTTCTGAAAAATGTTCGCCCAAACTAGCGTGGTGTATCCTTGGTGGACACCTAGCTCCAACATCGTCATGTTGAGAGAACCCAGCTTGCAAAAATACTTCGCCATGTGCAGCTTGAACAGCCTTGATGATGTTACAGTATCAATGAACTTTTCGGGAGTCTGCGCAATTGCAACCTCTGCATCTGCAATGCATCGTTCTGTTGAACTTGGTGTGGTGCCCGTGGGCACGAGCAGCATGCCAGTCAACACCGCAACGATGCCGCAACACATGGTTTGGAATTCAATCACGACGGTGATTCACTGTGTTTTACATAACTTCCTGCAGTGCAATCCTTGGATCTTGCTTTGCCAGCATCCATGAGGCAGGGATAACCGGGGATCTATGACACATGCAGATATGCGTGCCTCTTACACAGCAGTATCGTTATTCCACATCAACGTTCATTTTTGTCACTAGGCTTGGCCTGAGGCTAGGGGCGGATCGAGGCAGCACTTGCCGGAAAGCACACTCCAAACTCCGATAACCCGACGTTCGCACCCATCTTCAACCTCGACACATCTCGACGCTAGGCCGTCTTGGAAATGCTACCAGTGCACCTGTACTCCGAAGCAGAAGATTTGCTCGCCGCCATGTCATGCGAGTTTAGTTTTAAGGCGGGCCCGGTCGTCCATAACGAAGACGCCGTTGAGACCGTGAAGGCCGGGAACCGTCACCAGGAGCTGCATCGGAAAGCGATGCCTTCTGGCACAGGGGTGTTTCGCTGAGCATGCAATCATGCGCGCAACGCAGGATACTGTATGCGAGCTTTCTCTGCATTTGCTCAGCGGAGCTTTCATCAAGCTGGCCACTCCGACTCCTGAGGCTTGCACCGCGCTCCGGGGTCCAGCTTTGGCAGGTGGCGCTCCACACTGAGCAGCTTTGCAGCACCCATCAGCCGGAGGTCGAAGTGCATCTGAGCTCAGATGGGGCAAAAAGCTCTTCTTGCGGCATCTTCAACGCGGCTCGGCCCTCCGGCCTTTGGCTCCAACTTCTCCGCTGTTCGATTCGTAACCTATTCAGAGCTCGCTTCGTAACACACCTGTGTTGCTCCCTCTCCCAACGCCGCCTCCAGCTCTAAGGTGAAAGGGACCTCGACCTTTACTTGGCTGGGGCACTCGACGACCTGCAGGCTTGCTGTGCGGTGCTAAGATGCTGCACCTTCGACTCCAAACGTGCCCATGGCAACACGAAAAGGCCATCGACAACTTCTACCAGTAGTGTAGCTTGCCATGAACTGCAACTTACTTGGAGTCCTCGGTAACGACGCGCTAAACTCATGAAGCAACCGGAGCTTGCGCGCCTGCAGGTCAAGGCTGGGCACCTGCGCAGTCAGAATGCATACGTCTCAGAGTCTCAGATCATGGCTGTGGGCATGAACGCACGCGCAGCACACATCTATAAGTCTGACGACGCTGGGTTAAAACCCTGACAGCAGAAGAGGCTTCGCGCCTGCACTGCCTTCATGCGAATCTGGTGGCCCTCCAGGCGCCCTGCAGGCCCGTCCGGTACCTTTCAAAGTTTTCCAGTTGACGGCACTTGTCCTTAATCGGCTGTGGTCCCCTTCAGTGGGGTGCACGCCAGGACATCGCAAGCGATCCGAGAAGTTCCTGTTCTCTGACGGCCGCCTGACAGATGTCGCACATGCTTTCATTCTCCGCTCGGGGTCGCCGAGGTGCCGAGTCGGGAGCATCCTCTTCTGGCCATGCGCTGAAAACGAGGACGAAGCAACCGCGCGGCTTCAGGAGCAGCGGCAGCGCGCTCCCTGATCCGGGACGAAGCATGGAAAGGGGCCGCTTAAGTTTTTGGTGGCTGAGGCCTGTGATGGGATCGTTTTCCAGCTCTGTGACGAGCCGACTCTCGAAGCCAGGTGCGCAGTCCAACTGCCAGGATGTCCTTTTTGGGGGGGTTAATAAGGCGTTCAGGAACCGCAAATGTCCTGCAAGCATCTGCAAGCCCAAGGGGCAGGTAGATGCTTCCTTGTGTCGCATTCTCGATGGAGCCTTGGTGTCCACGGTTCAGCATCAAGGATGGGGATATCAAGGGAGCACTTACCCAGCAAGTCGGCACAGTGATCGCATCAGCAGCTACGCCCACTGCAGCTTAATGCGAGGAGCACTCCACGAGAAGTTGCCGATCCTGGGAGAAAACTGCATCTGAAGACCGCGCAGAATCATGTACTGGTGGCTCTATACGTAGCCCTTCACCCAACCATGCCGTATCATGCCGTGCAGTTGCTGACTACCTTCGGACTCCAACCTCTGGGCGTTACCCGTTCCCATGCAACGAAGCATAGTTCCTACACTCGAGTTTGGATTCAATTCGCCGCGAGTCCATTCCCATGGCAGGGTGGCAAGGAGACTCCGAACTGAAACAATTTCCGCCAGGATTCGATCTGAATGACGCGATGCGAAACCGCAAATGGCTGCAGCGCTGGGAAGCGATAAGCTCGTCTGAATTGTCCCTGAGCAGGGCTGGTCAATGCGGCGTGGAACGGCGGTTGAAATCGAAACTGCTGGCAAGAAGAACACAGTACTACCTTATGCCGCACTGTGATGAAGCGGGGACAGACTACAACCCTTGCACTTCCAGCCTGCGGCAGCCCCGGGCATGTCGTCGTGAAATATGAAAATTCCACCAACAGCACACGTACGCACATGGAGGTCCTATGTGAGGTTACAGTCTCTCACAAGTGTCGTCTAGGCCTGCTCGCCCGCGCACGTATATGTGACGAGGCATGCCAAGGCCTGGGCTCACACATCCACAATGCCTTGAAAAATATGCTAGCACATAGTGCGCTGCCGAATCACATTCAATCGAAACTTGGTCTTCCCTGCCGCGATGCCTAACTATCTGAGATAATCCGAGCAACATATGTGCCAGCATCACGCAACTCGTGGTGCACGATGGCATCCACAAACTCACCTGAGCCATGGTGAGCTCCAGCCAATGTCTCGGCAAACATGGCGCTGTGCAATGCTGTCTTTCAGATTTCCACCCGTGCGAATGGCAGATGTGTGCAGCAATTTTAAGTCGTTCAAGCGGGAGAGCTGCAGGCACAGGCGTCTCAGTCGTGCAATTTCGTTTTACGCTGAAGCCGTACACGGCATTGGCCTATGTACGAAGACAAGGCATGAGGAGTCGTTGCAGCACGAGCAGAACTCTCGCGTTTGCCATCATAACATGGTTTTCGAGCTCAAACATCCACATGAGGCAGTTACACCTCAATCGCCAAGCAGCTACATCGCCAGAGCAATGGCCATCGAGCCTAAAGAACCCCGGCCGACCACTTGCGCTTCAGCAACCAAGCCCCACATGGGTTCAAGCTGAAACCAGAAGTGTCTCGTAAGGGGGTGCCAAAGTAAGGGCCGGCCGGGGTGGGCAGCATGTCCCCGTTCGCCTGAAGATCAGCAAGTTCAACGGGGTTTGCAGAGGCTTTCTGCATGCGCAGCCACCACAGAGGCTGTCGAGCACCAAAGGAAGCAAGCACCGACCAATGCAAGCAGCAACGGGCTCCCAATATGAAGAGCTTTATCATCTTTACTGCGGCACATCCCCGATGCTCAGCTCCCAACACCACCGTTGCAGGGAAAGACACGATTATTAGCCGCGAACAGATTGCCGCCGGCATCGTCCACGTTAACCCAGCTAGGTGCCAACAAAGGAAGCTGTAATGCACCAGCGGGTGTATCAGAATCTGTCAACAGTTCTCAGCCAACGAGTCATTGCACGGAGCGAAGATGCCAGAAGAGGTAGCCGCAGCTTTCAAAGATTGTGCGCAGTCGCCAGTCATGCTCCCATTATCTCGCATTCGCAGGAAAGCGGACGCCGACAGGGTCTATCGCCAAAATCGCGTGCTGCTGTGGGGGTAATCGTCAACTGTCGCGGATTTGGCCGCCATCCAAAGGGTTTCCACTGTGAAGTCCGGCCGCCTATAATGCCGACATGTTCAGGCTGCGAAATCAAGGCGGCAAGCAGCTGCATTGCCCCATTCGAGAAACGGTCCATGAGAAGCAAGCGGATTCAGGACCCCCTGCGTCGCAAAAAAACGACACTCGGGTCAACGCCGTAGAAGCTACACTATGCTTCAGATGTTATCCTAGGCTTCCGTTGTCAGATCGTGCCGTAGGCGCCCCTGCAATGGCAGAGTATGTCTACGGCAAGGCAAGTGCGCGGGAGTTCAGTCCGCATTCAAACCAATCGCAGGTGTTTTTTCTCTCCTGCAGAGTCTAGACCGATACGATATGATACGATTCAATATCTGATATCTGTAAAACGACGTGGTCGTATGTTCAGGCCTGCGGCTGCTAGGTGTGGCCTTGGAGGCAATCAGGTCATAGACATAGACGGAATCTGACGAATTGGGACTTTGAGCGTCCCCGTCACGCCGCTGAAATCTGCTTGTGCATTCCTGTTTGGTCTCTAACCTCTAGATTGTTCACTCTTTCCTGAGTTCTTTGCAGCTGTCGGGTAGACGAGGTTGGTTGCATCAAGACGGATGCGGTTCTGAATCACTTCACCACTTCTTGCTTTCAGTTCGGTTCCACCACGGCCAGGCCTTTTCCTGGAGGGTCCACTTCAGAGAGCTCAGTTTCATCACATCACCTTCTTGGGCAGTTCGATTCCATGCTGCTTTGTCCCCTCATGCCAGTTCTTGAACCCATTAGCTACCAACTCTTCGGGACATCGGACCGCGCACGCGGTGACCGAACCGGACGGCGAAAGCACTCGTTGAAACAGTCGGCCTGGTGGCAGCGTCTTTGTCGGAGATGCCTGCGACTTCACAGATTGTCAAGTTCGCACTATGATGCGCTGTGCCTACGCGTGAGCTCTGATGCGACCGTTATTCCAGTCAATAGACGCCAGTGTTCAGCAAAGTGAACTTCGACGCACCTGCAGCAGAAAAGGCAGTGCGTTTGAGAGCGTTTCGAGTCCAGGAAGCACAATTGCCACAGTGCCCAAACTCCGGAAGGCACCGATGTCGATCTCCACTCGCATGGCCACATTCTCCACTGTTTGATGGCTGACGTTCAGGACATGCAAATAACCTGCTCAAAGACGGGAACATTAATGAACTTGGCCTGAGTCATTGCACTTCTTTATCCACCAGTGCCTGTGAATGGCTCACCCACAAGCGATTGCTGCAGAGCCTTGGAGCTGCAGCTCCAGCCCGTGGGTCTTCGGCATTTTCGGTACGCTTGTCTCTCGGAAGGTGCATGCAAAACTGCCAGCGATTCGCAAATTCAGAGCGCTGACTCTGCATCTAGGAAGCCATCGGAACCAGTGCTTTGGGCACATCGAGACCTCGGAAACACCGGACGAGATCAGAGCTCAGCATGCAAGCACGAGATCAGTACTGCTTCTGCTGCTTGCTGTGGTCACAGATATCCACATGATCGATGCGTGATTGTGGCAGCTGAGGGTAGCAGGGCTATCCCATCCCTGCCTTGAAGCGGCAGCGGGGCAGCTGTCCCGGGCTGGCGAAGCCGCATAACCTCGGGCGATGATCGCAGCAATCTCAAAAACCAGCCAAAGTGGTGTGAGATTGAACGTTTGAAAGGTCCCGGATGCTTTCAGGATCAGCGGTTCGGGCTGCTGCATAGCGGCAACGCTTCGGGTTGCTGATGCTGCTACTGTCCTCGGACAAGTCCTATCTACGCCACGGGAGTCACATGGTGGACTTGTGCAAAGCAGCAGGCGTTGTTGTCCTAGCATTGAGTGGATGAAGACTGTGGCGTGGCTTTATGTTACTGGTACATACCTATCCCAGCTGCGTGGACTTGGATGTATTGCTGCGCTAGCCGCTAGCCTCAACTTTGAGCCAAGAATGGTCCTGTTGGCCATCTGCCAAGACACCATGCCCACATATCAACCAGCATCATCAAGCCTGCTGTGCATATGGCCAGCACAGCTCCATGACAAAGTCAACTGAAGAATGCCCTGAATTCTCAGCTTCCCGGAATCTCCATGCTCCCACAACCTGGCCTTCCGGGTGTAGTGTCGAGCAGTCAGAAGGGCTGCGAAGGAGCAAAGGCTGACACCGAGCCAGGAGTAGTAGAGGAACAGCAACTGGCGCAAACGCTTCGCGGCTAAAAACCCGGGCTTCGGAGTTTTTGTGTAAGGCAGGGGCCTCGGACATCAGGTGTTTTCTTCTTCTGGGCCTTTTATGCGATCTGCTTGGTAAGACTGACGGCTGCATTTGCGAAAAGTTGCCGCGGAGATTTCGCCAGCATTCTCCGCAGCACACGCGAACACCGCGAGCACAAGGATTCAACTACATGCAATTTATGCGTGCACCCGGCCTGTATCAGGAAACACAAAGCAAAACAAAGGAGAGGTATTGTTGCCAACATGCCCGGGATGGAATTCGACGGGCTCATCTTGCATCGCCACTTGGCGGGCGTCTACAGAAACTGGACAAGTGTTGCTCTTTCAGGGGAACCTTCGCGGGACTTCAGCCTTCTGTCGTACTCGTAGATACTGCCCTCTGAGCTTAGAAACCGGTTCCAACTACTGTATTTCGTGTGCTAGAATTAAAGGCAAGCTGCATCCCAGCCCAGCGGCCTGTCCCAGTTGAGATCCCAGGAACTGTGCAGCACCTCCACAAAGAAGGCCCCATGCCTCTCAGCAATTCCAGGATTTCCAGACATCAGGCAAAGCATGCCCTCTCAGCATTGATCCAAGGTGCCAGGCGCATACCCACATCTGCCAAATGGGGAGCCTTCCAAATGCTGAATCAAAAATGCTGCAAAAAGCAACATCTTTTCCGCAAGTCTTTTCAGTCGTGGCCGTGGCCTTTTCTGACATATCTGCCGAGAGCAGCGCTCCCAGGACCGCACTGCAGCTGGCAGTGGCTAAGCCCGTGATGAGCGTCACCTGCAGCTCGGTGCACGGCCTCTGCAGCTTGGAAGAGAGCCTCCCGACAAGGTCGGCACGTGAAGGGTCGACGTCAACTCCAACATCGCCTCAGAAGGTTCGCTTCTAGTGCTGGATCCGCAAGTCGAGACGAGTGCCAGTTTCGCCCGTTTTCGCCGGGAGAACCCACAAGTGCAGAAGCGGTACAGTATTGCTTCTGGTCTCTTTATGAGCTATGCAAGGAGGGGGATGGACGCAAACTGTCCATGCTGGTCAGATCGACCTACCGGAAACCAAGGCGTGCAATCCCTTTCTACAGTACACGGAGGACATGATGATCTGCCGAAATAGCAGACAGACTGGGAGCTGAACAAACATCGCAGCTGTGGCGCCGAGGGCCAGGGAGGGCAAGAAGAACAGATCCAAACCTGAGTTGTTGCTGATGCTGATGCCCGCCTAGTCAGCGCCTGCTTCCGAGCCGTGCCAAGTGACATTACTCGTCTACACCTGATCGCCTCAGCAATTGTACACTCCAAGAAGCATTCCATGCAGCGAGTTTTGTCCTGCCAGATCTCGTTCAGCATTGGCACCTGCGCAGCACCATCCCCCAATTCCCGAGACATGCTTCTCGGATCTATCTCGGCCGGCATGAACTGAGTCGCCATCATCGTCGAAGAGTCTACGGCTGGCTGAGTTCACGGCCACGACGGCGTAGGACACAACACCGACGATGTCAAACCAAAACACGGCGAAACCTTTTCGAAACCTCAGCGTGCGTGCATTAAGCCACCATCAAGCCCGGAACATGCACTTTCTCTTGGGCGACCACGGTGTGTACGCAAAGAAATCCACAGCAGGCAACGGCCTGGGCTGCGAATCGCGAATGCCAAGGCAACGGAAAGTGACCCGCTTTCTGAGGCTTTCACGCCGGGCCCATGATCAACATCAAACCTAAACACTTTGTGCACAAAGTATCATGGCATTCCAGATGCACACAAGGCTCCAGGCCAAAAAGTGCGGCCGATCTTGCAGCAAGATGCCTCAGCAACCACACCGACGCAACCGCCACCAAGACACGACCTTCCACAGATCCTGCTCCACTTAGATGATGCTGCTGGTAGTGTGACGGAAAAGGGAAGGCATTGCCCCCGTAATGGTGCCACTTAAACAATTCTGATTCTCCCTCTGACATGCTCCTCTTCACCTTTAGCTTGTTTGCAGAGGCTAGCATCTCAAGCTACAAATTACAAAGGCTGTCAAGCGAGTTGACGCTCATAACTGCGACTATGGGGTTCTTGGCTGAGCACTGTGCCTTTTCCCGTCGTGCAATGAAGTCTAAATGAAGAACTTCAACATGACGATGCACTAAGTCACAAGCCTGCAGGTACACCAGAAGCCAGAATCACCAGAGTGGCCGACTCTGACCGCACCGGCTGGCAGCTTCGTAGTTGCTGCACTACAGAGAAACCGCAAGATGCCGCAGCATGAAGACTGTTTCTGGGCTCCACGCGAGGTGCAGTCCGTGAAGCCTTGGAGGAGTCGCTCCAGCTCGGCGGCCAGGAAAGATTTGACTTGGGAGCACCTTGGTAGCAGTTTCGGTGAGAACTTCATGTTCGCATATATAGGGCTGCAAAGCGCTCACAAACCAAGCACCGAACATTTGCCGCGCTTTCGGTCGCTGGTAGTGCTGTGTCAGGTGCCCGTCCTGGGCTTTGGCAATATTCGGCTGCAATCAAGGCAGAACTGTTTTGCAGCGAAGCCCCTCGAGCGGATGTCCTCATGAGCAGCATGCTCGTGATGCTCGCCCAGCTTGTCCCCATTGAAGCGAACGGCGAAGATGTTCAGCATCACCTTAGCTACAAGGATTGGCATTGGAACAGTGCCGAGGGCTTTGGCTCCAAGACTTGGAGGCTACCACATGAATCCAGCCACACTAATTGTGCCGCAATCCATACAGTTTGTCTCTGATGCTGGTCAGTGATACGCTAGACTTAGACGTGCGTAACCACACCGATGCACAGTGCCACGGGGCTATGCAGGGTGTCGATTGCGCATGCAACTCAATAAGGGTATCACCAGCTTGATGACCAAGACCTTCAAGACAACCTGGCATTCTTCGGAAGGACAACAGCAATATCGGCATCACAGCAGAACATCCGCGTTTGATCCGCCTTTTGGTTTGAAGGGCAGCCGGTTGCTTCGCGGTTGCTCAACTTGCTTTCTGGTTTTTTTCTGAGACTCTCTTGTGGGGACACCAGGGGTCGCTCTTAAGAGCGAGTGCGACGGACGGAATGAAATGTGATGCAGAAACCGCAAGAGCCGCAAGAAGGGGTCGTAATGAAGGCAGGCCAGGCGCTTTCGTTTGCAAGTTAAAGGAAAACCTTTAAATCGAGCAATCTAGCATAATCCAGCGGGGCAAATGAAAGCTATCAGCCGTATCATTCAATGAAGTGGACTGAAGCCTAATGAGCGAATGGGGCAAGCAAGGTTCTGTTCCTTTTGCCAGACAAACAGAGTGACATAAGACTAAAACCATGAGACGGAGAATGGCCATGAAGCAGACTACAAGAAAGCACGTTTGTATGGGCCTGCAACACGACGCCTAGCTTCTTGGACGAGGTGTTGTACTTCATTCACGGGCTGGACAATTGTTGAAATCAAAGCATTCATTCGTCGTCTCTACCGCAGCCCCACGTAATCGCATATGCACACACGCCGCAAATATCTGTAAATTGGGCTCCCGCCCCAAACTGACATCCGACCCTCCCAAACCAATCTGGGCGAAAGGTGCCCACCTTTCGGGACGGCGAGTGGCGCTCATGTCAACAACAACGACATCAACACTAACATAATGCACTCATGCTAGCCGCGAGCCGACGATCACGGTCTGGCAGTCATGAACCCTATCTCACTCTACGAACTAGAAACCACACTGTTTGACGGCAGGTGCCTTGCAAAGAAACGGTGGTAGCCTGTGTGCTAGGCGCCGGAGACAAGCGCCAGCGACCTCAGCAGTCAACTTGCCAACTGGCATTCCCGTCTGATGCCTAGAATCCGGCCGCAACCGGCTGAAGCCCCTGCAGCGCCCAAGGAGTAAGCACCGACGAGGAGTCCGAAAGCTTTGACACAGCCACGGCCTGCATGCCTTCATGACATTTCATGGGCTCGCTGGCATGTGGTATGTGATACGCGCAGGAAGCCCGCAGCACAGTCTATCTCAGCTTGATTCCGTGGCCTCTCTGCCCTTGCCACAGCAACCTGCGCCACGAGCATGGGCTGGCCAAAAAGGCCACCGAGGTGCCTGGCACTGGCAAGAATACTTAGAGGATGTAGGGAGAGTTGTAAGGTGCACTGACTGCACTGTACCGTGACGGCGTGCCAGGCCAACAGCCGCTCGTTGCACTCCTCCAGAAGCGCCAAAAACCTCAAAGAACCAAGTTGGCATATCTTCGGGCATCTCTTTCTCTAGCTTTAAACCGGCCGACCCCACCGCAGAACACCTTCGGCGCAATAGGACAGGTCGACTGGCTTGCCAAAGAGGGAAACGCATAAACGACGACTCCATGGCGGCACAGAAGCTTCTTCGTCCCGGCTTGCATGCAGGACTGCAGAGCATGCTTCGACAAACATCCAATTGATCCCGTGGACTCACGCTGCACTGAAAAACCCACGATCCTTCTCTCACGACTGCACTGCATTTTGCTTGCTCAAAGCGGCCGATGAGCGACTGGACTGTGGCAATCGGACGGATGCACCGGTCCCTTCCCCTTCCCAGGTTGCTGTTCCATTATTGGTAATCCGGCCATGGCTCTAGGAATGGTCGCAGTTGGATGCCCTGCATCAATGCTTTAGTCTTGGTCGCCGGCCCCGGGAATAGCAGCAGCAACAGCGGCTGGGCCTTGAGAGATCAGCAAGCAGGTGTGAAATGCTGAGACGTTGGTGTGTCACCCTCTCGCACATGTGCGTGGCTCGTGCATTTCCGCGCATCGCTTTAACAGCCTCCCTATCCGTGTTGTCATGAAGAGTTCAACCTGAGGGCCCAGCGAAAGTCAGGCCAAGAGTCAGCCTTGGACGGCAGACGAGAGGAGAGACACCAAACACTGGTAGCCTACCGCCAAAGTGCAAACAGCTCGAAATCTCCGATGGCGAGCGCTGTCCACATCTACACAGCACCCGAAGCGTCGAACGGATTAACGCCAGGCGACTGCACGCCGAAGACGCCCAGTTGGGATCCGACACTGAGGGCCAGCGCTGGCGCAAGCACGTCCTCGTTTGTTCGCAGGGTTTGGGGAAGTATGTCTGCATGCACCACTACAATCCGAAGAAAGCCACGCAACAAAAACAACCAAAATTGACAGCACGAGATCACAAACATGATGTTCAACAGATGCAGGCTGGCTTCCCATAGTGGCTCCAATGGCAGCAGGTCCTGAAAGAAAACTTGGTCATGGTTGTAAGCGGTCGGGAACTAATTTACCTGCAGGTTTTCCGATCATGCCGTCGTCGTGCAGGTGCTGTCGCCAGCCAGATTTTTCCCAAGTCTTGCTATGAATGCATGGCCCATAACGGACAGTATGGTCTGTACGGCTCGTGCTCAGTCGCACTGATGCAATGTTGCTGCAAGCTCGCCGTCCGAGGCAGCTCCACTTCTTGGCTGCCCTGTGCGTTCAGACTGCACACGGACAAGCAACAGTAAGATACAGTAAGGAAGCTGAGAGGGCAATCGCCAGCGTCAACACACCACTCACCTGCTCCGTTCTTGTGGACCGTATTTCACGGCTGACGGGGCCGAACTCATTGTTTGTCATCTGCCATTCACAGCTGAATCGTGATGCAAGTCCACTGCACATGCATGCTATGCACCCCTTTCAAAACCAACCAGGGACCTAGACTTGTCGTCCATCCCCGCCCTCTGAAGATCATCACGACGCCAGCCATGCCATGTGGAATCGACAAGTCTTGCATCGAGGCTCTCTGACGAATTCGCACTCCGAGGCATTACACCACTCTCGCACTCAACTGTGTCTACATGCAGCCTTGCATTAACAGATATTAAGCGGCACCGGCCCTCCACATGAACATCCGAGGTGCTAGTCCGTGGCTACCAGTAGAAAACCGCACAGCGCTGGAAACTTAAAGTCATCAGCACCCTGCTCCTGCAATGCATCTCCGTGCAGCACACGGCTAGGGAGGCCTGCCTTCGACAAATGCGAGGCGTCCGAGGGCACCATCAAAGTAATTGCAGTTAAAGTGTTGCACCTCTCTCTCAATGACAGGAAGGGAGGGACTACAGACATTCGCATTCAGAGCCACGACCTGAATGTACGACAATCAGGTCATGACAGCACAAATCTTCATCGCAATGATGGGAATCGTTGTAGGTTTACCGGTGCTTCAGTGTTTGCGGAAGCCTCAGCCATCGCACCTTCGAGGGGCCTGGCAGGAACTGCTACTTCCACAAACCGATCTACTGAATTCAAACTCTCTTTCACTCAGGCTGCTCTGTAATCGATGGTCATGCCAGACTCGAGCATGCGTCCGTGCTCAAATCCCTGCATTGCGGCCAGGCGTGCGCATGAATGTGGTTGCCGGCAGGTAGATGTAGAGATACAAATAAGGGAAAGAGGCAGAGACAGAGAACAGACAAGCAACCAAAGAGACAAGACCGAGCACGTGAACGGCAAACAACGCTCCGACCGCTCGGTTGGCATGTCCCACGTGCTGAGCTCGGTGCCCAGACCACGCCAGGTGGGAAGCTGTGCTCCAGCAAAGAACCTTGCTTGTGACAGGTCTCTACAGGAGCAGATCATGTCTGTGCAGTCTACGCAGTTGACGTATCCGAAGAAATGGCCCGTGACCCCACCTCGGAGAGTGATCATTCACTTCTGAGCATTTCTGCGTCAGTCACGCCTTGGCCTTGGCGTCCTGAGGAACCCGGCCATGGCGATGAGAAGATGCGACGTCTCGAGACTGGCTGGTGGTCCATCCTGCTCCCAAACTAATGCTTGTCAGGTTTTTTGGGCATTTACTCGGACGATCTCAGACTCGTGTGGAGACGCTGTTGAAGAAATTGGCGCTGTGTAAGCTTGAATAGCTTGACACAGAGAGGGTGGGGCGGATCCAGAGAGGAGGAACGATCTTTACGAAGCAGAGCGAAGGCCCATGCGATTCCCACCCAGCCGAACATGAGGCCGGGATGTGACAAGACAGCAATTCGATTCCCCTGCAGACTTTCACCGTCTCCATGCTGATGGCTCCACAGGTTTCAAAATGTCGCCGTCTCCTTAGCTTTAAGTTTTGCAAACCGGCTGCCCTCGAACTGTGCGACCGTCGGACATGTCCTTCCAGATCCAGCCCCACAAACACACAACTGCAGCGGATAGCATGCCCATGGCCAGGGTCCTGAGCGGGGTTGGGGGCTTTCTTTGCAGGTCCTGTGAGTTTCGCAACCACTACTGGGGCTCGGGGTCGTACGTCCAGCTCTCAAGTCATATGAATAGCGTTTAAACTAATCGAGCAGAAATCTTTCGATGCGGCCACGGGCCATGAGCGGATTATAGCGGATTCAATGTAGCCCTCCTGAATCAGCGAAAGCGTGGACATACCGGATCAACCAGAGAAGTTTATACGCACGGAATCTGGGCACCATGAAGACAAGCAAGGACACCCGGCCAACTACAGCCAGACAGAACTGCGAGTACTGCGAAACGACAGCTTCGGCGGCTTCGCCTCGGCGGCTCGGCCGCACGGATGGGCAATTTGCGTCACAGCGCCTTCCGTGAGCCCATGGCCAGGGCATAAAGGGCATTCAGCCTGGTTCAGCCTGCAGCCCACATGCTCGCCATGCATGCACCGACGGAGCTTTTCTGCCGAACGAAACACTCCCCCTGCACTAATAAGAAGCATCGCTTTGCATGCATTCAGTGAACAGGGACATCCTGCCGGACTTTGAGAAGGCTGAAGGGACCGAAGGGATCTGAGGGGCTTACCGTGTACTCGGCAGAAGTCCAACGAATTAGGCGCCCAAGGCCAAGGCAGGGGAAACTTCGGTTCCGAGGCCGGCGCCGCTTCGACACCTGGGCCCTAGGCGAATCTACGAGCTGCTCAGAGCTCCTCAGCGGTAGCCCGAGACGGAGACGCACGCCTCCCAAGCTGCATTCCCCCACGCAGCATTGCTTTGTGTTCTATTGCATGGCAGGTTGGAGCAGTCAGGTTCGGCGCCTGCTGCATCACGACAGCCGGCGGGGCCTGTGCCGGTGCCTGTGCTACCTGGATGGGGCGCGGCGCGACCACGCGGTTGCCGGCAGGGGCCGCCTTGGAGAAGAATCGAAGACATACACTCGTGAACGCACACGTTGTGAGGTGAGACATTCTGGGCATTTGGCGAGAGAGGCCGGAGCCGATGGCAGCAGCCCAGATGGCAGAAGCCTGGCAATGTGGCAACGCCTTCGACAAGCGGACGTGATTCCTGGAAGGAGCATGGTGAATTCACTTCCTTTTAAGTCTCTCACAAGATTCAAACTGCAAGGGAAGTACCGTGCTGCTCCGTTCCTTAAGGTTTAGGCGGGGAGGGTAGTTGGGTTTATTTGGGATAGTCAAACTCCAGGTTGGTAATTTTGTGCGCTTCTCCATCCAGAAAGTGCTGCAGGAGCTGACATGTTCCAGGGCGCGCTTAAGTGTTGCTTGTTAAGGCTCTACGTGGTTTTAAGATCTGGTGAGGCATCTTGGATGCTGGCTGAGGGGCTCCCACAAGTCCGTATGTGTTGAAGTCTTCTTGCAGCTGGACCTGTGGGCTTACTTGAAGGAGTCCTGAATTAGTTTGGAAATATCTCAACTCGGATTGGAAAGAGATTCCAGCTAAAGTTGCCTCAGCTACAGCACCTCCATCACCAGATCTACGAGTACCTATAAATCTCCAGCTTTAGGAGGGTTTCGTGCTGCGGGCTCGAGATTTGGCGGTCCCGCCGAAGAAACCCGTTCTAAGCTATGTAACAAACATACTGAGCGCCCTTTGCATGTAGATGCATTTACACCCGCAGTCCGGACAGCCAGGCCGGGCTCGCCCTCGAGCGGCGAAATGATGGTGAGCGTACCCATTTCCACATGCCACCTGAAGAACGTTGCTGCTGTTGGTTTCTCAACTTCAGCCTGCCCTCACTACGCATGGTGAACAAGTCGACTAGCATGACTAACACTACTCAGTCACTACTCTTACCTCCGGGGGCTTTGAGGAACCCACCCCACTTTATCGGGGTTTCATTTTTGGCGAACAACCCACGCCTTTCTCCGGCTGGAATTGCCACCCGGCGGCCACTCTCATTTTAGAAACCAGTGAACCCTGCTTTGGATCTGAAGCTTCAGGTTATTCTGTAATAGTATGCAAAAAGCAGAGGTTTTACTCTAAAAGCAGGCACGAAATCGTCAACCTCTCTGACAAAAAACATGTTTGTGTGTATACAGTGTATGTATATATATATATATATATACATATACATAGACAAAGATATATAGATATAACTAGATACGTATGTATACAGTATACATGTATGTCCCTTCAAACGAGGAGAATGGACGCATACTCTTGGATCGCTACCTGTGACCCTCATTGAAATCGAAAGCCATTGCCTGCACAGGCCCGGCAGCAAAGGCCTGCAAGAAAAACTCATCGCAAATGTCATAAGGGCTTTCGGACATTTGTGACGTACGCCATGAATCCCACGGAAGCTTCCGCTGCCTGCGACTGGGGTGCTGGGGCCGAAGGTAATCGTGTCACCTGCAGCTCACACTGTCAAGGCCGTTTCGCCACTTGCAGCGAGTACTGGCTTGAAGCCCAGAGGAGGTGATTGACAGACAAGATCAAGTCAAATATGGTCCACGCTATGAAGGTCTGTGATGTCGGAAGGTTTTGAAAGTTTGCATTGAAGGATGCATCCGGCACTGCACTCGATCATGCCAGATCTCGGGTTTGCTGGGCTCTTGGACACTGCGCTATACTTGCTCACTCCAGCCCGGTTCCTGCCTGGTGCGGGAGCACCTGAGCGAGAGTAAGCAAAAGCTGATCGAATCGTTACCGGAAAATGGGAAACCTTCTCTCCTGCTCGTTACCACTCGCTCAAAAGGATGGAGGCTGACAGGAGTTGTGTTGGACTGCCAGAGCATTCCGGCATGCACTAGATGAAGGAACGGCTGAAAGATGCCCTGTAGGGTTGCCTCCCCGGGCTCCTCCCCTTGTAAGCTACCAATGATCCTTCTGTGTGGCCCGTGCTTGAGCCCGTTCTGTCTTCGAGGTCAAAGTCTGCGAACGGAAGAAGGGCACTCGCGCAGGTGTTCCTCTCCGGAAGCCCCACTCTCGCATCTTGGGCGTGTCTCCCGTCGCATCAGAGTCTATGTGCAGCCCTGGACTCCTCCGGGACTCAGTTCTGACTTCCACCTGTCTGCTCTATCACAGTCATCACTACATTGCTGCATCCTGTGTGGGTAGCCTTTCAACTAGCTGAAACAAGCACGAGCTGAAGATGGCATCGCTGCCTCTTCGGCATCAATCACAGGAGTTCGCGAAGCCCCATGCTGAGAGAAAAACAAACTCAATTTCAGTGCTATTGAACCCATCGCAATAGTCGGGAACACTAACCGAGTTACGAGAAAACAACATTGGCTGCCGAAAGAGTAACCGGTTGCCGTGCATGTGCACACCCCGGCATCTTCGTATGCCAATTGTCCTGGCAAGCATAGGTGCTATGTAAAAGTAAGAGGCGGACCAACGGCACGTGGGTGTTCTTCTGCAGCACACGAATCACACAGCACACAGAACGCCCGAGAAAACACATGTTCCAGCGCCGGTGTGGTGCTGTGCTTGCATGGAGTGCAAAGGCTAGATAGAGATCGCCACGCGATGCAGTCGCACCAGAGATCTTGCAAGCTTGGAGATTGCAATCTCGAGCCTGGAGGCTTTGCAAAGATCGGCAGGGGTGCGGTCCGGCCAGGATGGGTGCTGGCACCTGCATAGCGACAAGCGATACTCACAAACTCAATTCGTGCAGCAATGGCAATCGCATAGTCGACCAGTCCAGATCGTCAGAGCGACACCGGCAAGCCTCCAATTCGTCCACAGGCGCACGCGGAACCTGGCGCAAATGCAAACGTGCAGCACCACAGCTGGAACAGCAAGACCCTCTAAGGCGACCGCAGAAACAACGATCTCCACTGGCTTCTCCGATATCCTGTTCAGGGCACCACCGTGGGGCACCAAACGATGTTATTCATCTTTGCACACGTGAGGATTGTCCCAAGCGTTCGCGGCGGGGTTGGAAGGACAGAATTGAGCCCAATTTCGCCAAGAGCTGACTCTCTGTAAACCACGGCTGAACGTGCCATGAGACTTGCGAACATGACACGCAGCACTGTCAAAAACATGCGCTACAACACAAGAGTATGGAAGTTCTTAAGACTTGATAAGTTGCAATGATATTGCACCGTGGGGCCCTTGCAGCGTTCCGCTCGGCAGTTAAGCAGCGAACATATTGGACGACCCTATTGCAGTATTTTGCCACGGCATTTGGTCTTCGTTGTCGTTGGTTTCGCTGCCGTTGCGACGGATGACAACTTGAGACCCTGAGCGGTAGATACTGTGGTTAACATGATCAGCTGCACACATCTTCGCCCGATCCAAAGGTTGTTCAGTCAGATTCTTAGGCAATGCAGCCCACGGTTTCGATGCTGGCGATTCCTGACCGGGTCAGACAGCCCGAAGACAAACCCAAGGTTTGCGATCCCCGGATCACAGTGACACACCGCGCTCGGCTTGTCTCCCCTGCTCAACGGTCTGTTATCTACAGTCCAACCCTGCCTGATCCTGACCTAGACATACAGCATAGTGAGGCTTGACAAGATTTGTTCCGCATGTCTGTCCCTCTGGCTCCTACTCATACTCTCTGGGCCTTGCCGGCGGGGGGGCCGCAGCTGGCACTGAGGCCATGCTGGCCTCAGCCGAATGTAAAAGCTTCCAGAGACCAGAAGCCTCAACCCAAGCATGTTGAGGCGTGTTGAACGAACGGCACGGACACACGGTTATGAAGTCCCTTAGTGAAGTTCGTGTTCCCTCACGAAGCCATTGCGGCGCTTCTGCCGCATGCAGTCGGAAACATGGATATGCGCTTCGTAGAACCTGCTGGGCCACATCTATTTAAGCCACTGGCCAAAGGCTGGGTAGACCGGAAGTTGTTGCCTCAAGCCGTTCTTGACTACCAAGGCTGTTCCGGCCTTGTACTTACCAGATAATGCAGGCGCGTCAGTGGCTTGTTCTGCGGTGCTTGGTCCAGCTTTAGCTTCAGTCAAGGCACAGTTGAAGTCTGGACCAGGAAACATGTCGCCTTAGAGGCAAGCACGCTAGTAGTAAGTCAACGTACATGCCTTGAAACTTTGGTCTCATGGCAGTTGGTGCGTGTGTGCGTGCGTGCGTGCGTGCGTGCGTGCTTGCCTTTTCACGCTTCCGACAACTTGAACTATCCAGCCTTCTTCGCCATCTGCATCCGCTGAAACAGGCCTCGTAACGACTTAAGCTGCCCCATTTCGTGGCTGTCGCCCACAGGAGGAGGTGCAATCGCTCACAACAGCCATGAAAGTAGGCTCCAGTCGAGAGGGTGGACCTGCCAGGAGTCTCCCGCGCAGATGTCGGTGGTTGCCAGGAATTTGGCCTCACCAGATGCTTTTTGTAACAAGACTATAGCTGAGCTTCATACTGAACCGCCTCTGCCGTCCGACATGAATAACGGCTCGATTCTCATGCTTGGTTCGGGTTCAACATCGACTTGCTTCAGCAGCACATTCTACCTTAGGTACATCCAGTAAATACAACCTATGACACTACAACTAAATGCGTGCAACATGTCATGAGCTACCTTGACGCTGGGTTTCCCGCACTGGCGGCAATGCTGATGCTTCACTCTTGATGAAGCCGGAGCTATCTGGCCAAGATGGGGCGGTAGGAGTAAGGGCGGGACGATGGAGATGAACCATTAGTGCAGTGTTCGACATGCCTCCACATGTGATTGCTCCCTGGAGCCCCTTCGAGGCACCTATGCGACTGAGCGAATTAATGCTAGCAGCCGCTGCAAGCAGGCCAGCCAGTCTGCTAGGCTGCAGCGGCTGGGGGGAAGTCACGAGCATGCGCTGTGATGGGGACGTCGGAAGCGAGGACTGCGACACCTGCAATCGCTGTGGGGTGGAGAAGTTCCAAGTTTTTGCGGAAGAGCTTCAACTCAGCCCTTCGACAGTTGCGACGCATGTGCAACTCAACCGACAAGCGCAAAGATCGGCGACGCAAGAGGTGCCTGTTCGCTACAGAAACTAAGATCTGCACGCTTCGGTGATTCAGGCCATGCAGCCTGAAGCAGCTATGATGTCAGACATTACTCATCGTTTTCGATGCCCCCGGTTGGATACTTTCGCTGCCTTCCTCATGACTGGCTGCTTGCTACTGTCTTCGGCCCTCTATTGCTCGGGATGCCGAGTGAGTTCCTGGGACGGTTGGGGCCACTGATGCCACTGTGGCCGCATATTGTTTCTGAATGGGTTCTGATATGCTGAAGTAACAACCAAGAGACAGTCCTTTCACGGAAAAGATGCCGGTTCAACGACTGCATTTGAGCTGAGGTCCACATGTGTGGATCGTACTTAGAGTCGTAGAGGGTTGACGGGACTCGACGCCTCTCTCTTTCATTGTCTTCTTGTCCTCAGAACTTAAGAGGCTGTGCCACTCTCTCCCACGTAGGTCTGGTGCGACCTCCACCACTGTGCCGGCTGTTCTTTTTGGATGCAAGGTCCTGTCCACCCATCCTTCTCTCCCTCGCTGTGTTTGACTCTCCCATCCTCCGTCCTTCCCTGGCCGGGGGGCCGGGGCAACAAAAATCAAAGAGCGATCAACAACAAATCAAAATAGGCAAAATGTCATATCTTCTGAAGGGTATATTCAAGATTACCAACTTTCGGATCAAAACAAAATTCAGACGGGGATCCACAACAACGTTACACAAGGATGGGGTTTTCTGCCGTCATCTGCTGTCCAAACAGCGTCGCAGCACTGTGGCGTTGACGTTTAGGGATCTGGTTTTCTTGGTGGGGGTGCGGGGGGCTCGGGCGTAGAGAAACAGGGTGCCAGGGGCAGGGTGGTTGGGGTCGCAGTAGCACTGGCCGTAGCAGTACGCGTATCCCATTGACGGAAACAATAACGGCAACAGGTAAAAGTAACAGTGAAGGCAAAAACAGCAGTAATCGTGTTGAAAACCTAGTCGGGAATCAACGATAATCGGAAGAATAGTAGTAAAAAACATGATAATGCTAGTCAGTAGCTATCATCATCGTCATCACCATCAAGTTCACCATCATCATCATCACCATCATCATCATCATCATCGTAGCCATCATAGTCATAAGAACAGTAATCGCACTAACCGTAACCTTAATGAGCAGTTTCAATGCTGCGGTACTAGACGAACGGTGCTGAAACCGGAACAGTAAACTCAATAGCAGGAAAGCCACTCTAGCCGAACATTGAGATCCAGTTCAGATGACTAGGCACCGTTCCGAATCATGGCCAAATTTGTTGATGCCTGTCCCGCCTTCCACAAACAAACCTTATTCTCTATCTGTTGGCACAAGATAGGAGGCATACAGTTGCAGCAGAGACAGAGGCCATATCAGCACATCCAACTCACTACCCAGCAGCAAGGGCTGCCCGTCTTCCCAGATTATGTGACCCTGCCTGGCGTTCTCGAAAAGAGCCTGCGGCTCACATCAGTTTTCAGTCGCTTGGCAGGAGGAACAGCAGAACAGCTTCGCAAAATCGACTTCTCTTGCAAACACAAAGCGCTGAACTTGCTTGAACTTTCAACTCCGGGACCTCGTCCAGGCGCCGCTGCCGATCATCTCGTTCCTGTGCCACTCGCGGATTCCAAAACACAACAAGTCTAGAACATTGAACTTCTGTGCTATGTGGTCACGCTTACAACTGACTACTGCTCGCACCACCATTAAGGGTCGTGTTCCTACATTTACTGCGCCGGATCACCGCCCGGAGCCTCCCGAAGCTGAAAAACGTGACGCTGCAACTCCTGTCCAACATGCAGGGATTAACGGCTTCAGCGACTTGACTACGAAGCAGACCAGCGCAGACAGAACATGCTCAAGCCACGAACATGCAACAAGCTTCGTCTATATGATGACAACAGAGCCAAAAGCCACGAAGAACACCAGGAGGCCAGCAAGTTTCAGGCGATGCGTTGTTACTTGTTACACGGGGTCTTCTGTGTCATCGGGTGTCCTGCTAGATAGGGTCTTCTGTTAGACTCGGTCTTCTGAGACCAGGGTCTCAACAGGTCTGAGATTCTTTTTGCTACTACCACCGCTACTTACTACCACTACTACTACTACTACTACTACTACTACTACCACTACCACTGCCACTACATACCACTACGACCACCACCACCACCACCACGACGACGACTACTACTACTACTACTACTACCACCAAAACTACTACACACTATTACTACTATGAGTGGCATTACTACTACTACTACTACTACTACTACTACTACTACTGCCTAATGTCCGTCTTCATCAGGATTTGCCATGCCAGAACCTGAGGCTAGTGATTCAAATCCAAGCCAGGCCAAACCAAGCCATTGAACTGAGAACTCCCTTCACGATTGTCTAATAGGAAAACCCTATCTAATAGGAAAACCCTCCCTGATGGGAAAACCCTGTCTAAAAGGAAAGCTCTATCTAATAGGAAAGCCCTACCTAACAGAAAAACCGAACCTTATCCACAGACAAGCCCATCTAATAGAAAAGCCATACCTAAGACCCAAACCCTATTTAAATGAACAACGTATCTGATAGAAAAGCCCTATCTAATAGAATAGCCCTATCTAATAGGAGCCCTATCTAAACACTAAGCTGCATCCTGTTTGAAAGCCCACCCCAAACCCCTTGTCCAGTGTGCACGAACAAGCGCTGAAACGGCTGCGGGAGGGAGCAAAAGGGAAGAGAGGGGTGCCCGATCACTTCTGTCT